AAGAAGTCGGCGTGGTGTTCTTGCCGATAATACAATAAAACTTTGAGTCAGGAGAAAAACATTTAACAGATGCAAGAACATACACCGACTTCTTAAACTTCTCTCGGCAATAACCCTGGAACAGAAGGAGGAAAGGCATTGATTTCTTTGAAACTTTTGGCGATTTGAAGGAGGAAAAGCATTTACAGACGCACATTACAAGAAAACTGTGCTGTCTTATTTGATATTGCACGGGTAATAACTTTTGCTCGGAAGAAAAAAAAATTAGCAGGTACACTTTACAATAATCTTGGATTAGAAGGAAGAAAAGCATTTATAAATGCGCTTTCAAGAACACTATACGGTTTCTTTGTCTTTCCGTTAATAACCTTAGATTAGAAGAATGAAAAACATTTGAAATGCATTTTCAAGAACATCGTACTGATGTCTTTGAGTCTTCCCCGTTAATAACCTTGGATTAAGAAAAAAACATTTCAGGTGCGCTTTGCAAGAACAATATTCTGAACTTTCCGGTAATAACCTTGGATCAGAAGAAGAAAAATATTAGCAGATGCACTTTTAAGAACATTACGCTGACTTCTTTGAACTCCCCGTGATAACTTTGGATCTGAAGAAGGAAAATCATTAACAGATACACTCTGAGCTCTTAAAACCTTCCCGATAATAACTTTGGATCAGAATAATAGAACAAACAATTGCAATAATCAGGAGTATAAAGATCTTATAGGAGAATATGCCTTGTACTTTTTTAAGAATAAACAGATTCATATGGTGAATTCAGCGAAGAACCTGTTTCAATAATTGTGAACGCAGAAGAAAATCAGAAGGGGATGGCATTCGCAGTCGTATTTCGTAAGAACACCACGCTAACTTTCCGGTAATAATTTTGGATCGAAGAAGGAAAGAATTAACAAACGCAAGAACACAACAGTAATTTTTCAGTAATAACCTTGGATCAGAAGAAAAAAGCATTAGCAGGTGCGCTTTGCAAGAACAACACCCTGACTTTGAATATTTCCGGTAGTAGCCTTGAATCAAAGAAGAAAAGCATTGGGAGATACACTTTACAAAAACACCACACTAATAATAACTTTGAAAGTCATTAGCGGACAAGAACATATATTGATTTCCTAAGATTTTCCTTAGATCAGAAGGTGGAAATAGATTTGCAGACACACTTAACAAAAACCATATTAACTTCTCGATAATTAAATCAGAAAAAAAAACATTAGCAAACACATTTTGCAAGAACATCACGTTAATTTCCTGGATCAGAAGGGAAAATGAATTTACAGAACACTTTACAAGAACGCCATACTGTTTTCTTAAATCTTTTCGACAATGAATAATTTTGGATAGGCATTGCATATGCACTTCGTAAGAACACTACTGACATCTTTGAATGTTTTTGATAATAACTTTGGATTAAAAGGAGAAAAGGCATTATAGATGCACTTTGTAAGAACACCACTCTGACATCTTTGAATATTTCCGATAATAATTTTAGATTATCAGATGTATTTTTGAAATTTCCCGGTAATACCTTGGATCAGAAGAAGGAAAATGTTTAATCTTCTCATGATGTTGATTTCTGATGAATTGTTCGACCCAGTGCTGGTCGATGTGGCTCCGGTCTTTGACCACGTGCTTGGCGATAGTTATATCACCTTTTAGCCATCTTTTCGATCTGTTGACTGCATGTCAACTCGAAGCATCTAAAAGTAGCCCTAATTATGTTTTCTCTAATTAAGTACAGATCTACATCAAAGTTAAAGATTATCATTTTCAGGGAATTTGAATATTTGTCTTGGTGTTAAAGTGGATAAATTTATGCTTTATATTTTATGAAAGCTATGAAAAACAGTTTAGGACTCAACTATTTTCAAAACAACGAACCGTCTAAATGGTCTCTTATTGGCTTTTTAAAATGGAGATACGAAACACAGTCACTTTTAGATAGAACAAGCGAGCATAGTGCGTTCAAATCGTTTCTTCAGGAATTTTCAAATGAAGATATTATAAAAGCAAAAAGAGCGCAAGAGTTACTTAACAACTGGGAAGTATGTATTTTTTTTTATGCCTTGGCTCTATTGACAGACCAAGATTCCTGCTCTTATTACTACATGAATCGCTGAGTTCTGCAATAATGAGCACAACTGATCGCTGAGTTGGTTGGGAATTTTGGTAGGATCGCTGAGTCTATTGCTGTAACACACTGTGAGATCGCTGAGTCACACAGTGTTGAGTCGCTGAGCTCGTTGCAGTCTGTTATGAGCCTAATATTTATTATTATATAAGTACATAATTTGTTCTGTATAGTACATCTTATATCATTAACAATTGCTTTTCGAATTCTTAAAATTGATATGCTTTCCTAGGAAATTAAGCGTTTTCCAGAAGTTAAAAATTTCTGGAATGATATTAAAACACGGAATTTAAAGAACGATATTCAGCATGCCAAAATGCAAAATGAACTAAAAACTTTACAGGTTGAAGCTGAAGATGTAAGTTTTTTGACCATTACAATATTCTACGTTATACATATTATGATTAACGCTATTCTATTAGTTAAATTATGTTCTTGACCGAAAAAAGGAATTAAACTTACATGCTAATATAATTGGCAGTAAAAGAAAGTTGATGTTACAAGGGATGCAGGTGCGCACTTTTCAAACAATGATTTATTGTCTTGTGATATAATTCCGAATGAGCTATAATTTTTAATCTTTAGGATGATAGCGTTTCAAAAAATAAACAACGCAGAACTAGAAGTGGAAGGGCGATACAAAACTATGTAAAAAGTGTAGTATTGAGATAGACAAATGAAATCGACGTTTTTTAATGATTTTTATGGCGTTGTTCTTAGTTGGGTTTAGCATTGGTCTTGGCGTGGCTTTGTGGTCAATATTAAATAAAAATAGTTAAAATGCTCCGGTAACTCAGTGGATAGAGTACTCGTTTCCTAAACAAGTTGTCGGAGGTTCAAATCCTTCCCGTATATTTCTTGGAATCATGCGCATGATTAAAAAAAAAAA